TCAATCAAACAGACTCCAACCTCTCCACATTGGCCAAGACCAGAGAGCTGTGTAAGAACATCAGGGATAAAATTGTAGACCTGCACAATGCTGAGATGGGCTACAGGACAATAGGCAAGCAGCTTGGTGAGAAGGCAACATGCAAGATCTCACCTCGTGGGGCATCAATGATCACAAGGAAGGTGAGGGATCAGCCCAGAACTACACGGCAGGACCTGGTCAATGACCTGAAGAGAGCTGGGACCACAGTCTCAAAGAAAACCATTAGTAACACACTACGCCGTCATGGATTAAAATCCTGCAGTGCACGCAAGGTCCCCCTGCTCAAGCCAGCGCATGTCCAGGCCTGTTTGAAGTTTGCCAATGACCATCTGGATGATCCAGAGGAGGAATGGGAGAAGGTCATGTGGTCTGATGAGACAAAAATAGAGCTGTTTGGTCTAAACTCCACTCGGCGTGTTTGGAGGAAGAAGAAGGATGAGTACAACCCCAAGAACACCATCCCAACCGTGAAGCATGGAGGTGGAAACATAATTCTTTGGGGAAGCTTTTCTGCAAAGGGGACAGGACGACTGCACCGTATTGAGGGGAGGATGGATGGGGCCATGTATCGCGAGATCTTGGCCAACAACCTCCTTCCCTCAGTAAGAGCATTGAAGATGGGTCGTGGCCGGGTCTTCCAGCATGACAACGACCCGAAACACACAGCCAGGGCAACTAAGGAGTGGCTCCGTAAGAAGCATCTCAAGGTCCTGGAGTGGCCTAGCCAGTCTCCATACCTGAACCCAATAGAAAATCTTTGGAGGGAGCTGAAAGTCCGTATTGCCCAGCGACAGCCCCGAAACCTGAAGGATCTGGAGAAGGTCTGTATGGAGGAGTGGGCCAAAATCCCTGCTGCAGCGTGTGCAAACCTGGTCAAGACCTACAGGAAACGTATGATCTCTGTAATTGCAAACAAAGGTTTCTGTACCAAATATTAAGTTCTGCTTTTCTGATGTATCAAATACTTATGTCATGCAATAAAATGCAAATTAATTACTTTAAAATCATACAATGTGATTTTCTGGATTTTTGTTTTAGATTCCGTCTCTCACAGTTGAAGTGTACCTATGATAAAAATGACAGACCTCTACATGCTTTATAAGTAGGAAAACCTGCAAAATCGGCAGTGTATCAAATACTTGTTCTCCCCACTGTAAGTTGAAACGTCAAGACTGGGACAATAAATATCTGAAGAAAGATTTTTCAAAGGTTTTATGGACTGATGAGATGAGAGTGACTCTTGACGGACCAGAGGGATGGGCCCGTGGCTGGATCAATAACGGGCACGGAGCTCCTCTTCGACTCAGATGCCAGCAAGGTGGAGGTGGGGTACTGGTATGGGCTGGTATTATTAAAGATGAGCTAGTTGGACCTTTTCAGGTTGAAGATGGACTCAAACTCAACTCCCAAACCTACTGCCAGTTTTTAGAAGACACTTTCTTCAAGTAGTGGTACAGGAAAAAGTCTGCATCTTTCAAGAATACCATGATTTTTATGCAGGACAATGCTCCATCGCATGCATCGAAGTACTCCACTGCGTGGCTAGCCAGTAAAGGCCTTAAAGATGAAAGAATAATGACATGGCCCCCTTCACCTGACCTAAACCCTATTGCGAACTTGTGGTCCCTTATTAAACGGTCGATTTACGGTGAAGGAAAACAGTACACCTCTCTGACCAGTGTCTGGGAGACTGTGGTTGCTGCTGCACAAAAAGTTGATTGTCAACAGATCAAGAAACTGACAGACTCCATGGATGGAAGGCTTATGACTGTTATTGAAAAGAAGGGTGGCTATATTGGTCACTGATTCTTTTTTTTCTTTTTTTTGTCAGAAATGTTTATTTGTGAATTTTGAGTGGTTTGTTTATTATTCTCACTTTAACAGATGAAAATAAACAAGTGAGATGGGGAACTTTTCGTTTTTCATTTAGTTGCATAATAATTCTACACACTAATAGCTGCCCAATAATTGTGCACACATAGATTTTCTCCAAAGAAAGCCAAAACCTCACATTTACTTTCTTAAATATTCAGGTTTGAGGTTTATTAACATTTTGGATTGACCGAGAGCACTGTAGTTGTTAAATAATAAAATGAATCCTCAAACATACAACTTGCCTAATAATTGTGCACACAGTATATATATAAATATACAGTGGGGAAAAAAAGTATTTAGTTAGCCACCAATTGTGCAAGTTCTCCCACTTAAAAAGATGAGAGAGGCCTGTAATTTTCATCATAGGTACACGTCAACTATGACAGACAAAATGAGAAAAAAAAAAATCCAGAAAATCACATTGTAGGATTTTTAAGGAATTTATTTGCAAATTATGGTGGAAAATAAGTATTTGGTCAATAACAAAAGTTTCTCAATACTTTGTTATATACCCTTTGTTGGCAATGACACAGGTCAAACGTTTTCTGTAAGTCTTCACAAGGTTTTCACACACTGTTGCTGGTATTTTGGCCCATTCCTCCATGCAGATCTCCTCTAGAGCAGTGATGTTTTGGGGCTGTCGCTGTGCAACACGGACTTTCAACTCCCTACAAAGATTTTCTATGGGGTTGAGATCTGGAGACTGGCTAGGCCACTCCAGGACCTTGAAATGCTTCTTACGAAACCACTCCTTCGTTGCCCGGGCGGTGTGTTGAGTTTTTACCAAAAAATTATATTTTGGTTTCATCTGACCATATGACATTCTCCCAATCCTCTTCTGGATCATCCAAATGCACTCTAGCAAAGTTCAGACGGGCCTGGACATGTACTGGCTTAAGCAGGGGGACACGTCTGGCACTGCAGGATTTGAGTCCCTGGCGGCGTAGTGTGTTACTGATGGTAGGCTTTGTTACTTAGGTCCCAGCTCTCTGCAGGTCATTCACTAGGTCCCCCCGTGTGGTTCTGGGATTTTTGCTCACCGTTCTTGTGATCATTTTGACCCCACGGGGTGAGATCTTGCGTGGAGCCCCAGATCGAGGGAGATTATCAGTGGTCTTGTATGTCTTCCATTTCCTAATAATTGCTCCCACAGTTGATTTCTTCAAACCAAGCTGCTTACCTATTGCAGATTCAGTCTTCCCAGCCTGGTGCAGGTCTACAATTTTGTTTCTGGTGTCCTTTGACAGCTCTTTGGTCTTGGCCATAGTGGAGTTTGGAGTGTGACTGTTTGAGGTTGTGGACAGGTGTCTTTTATACTGATAACAAGTTCAATCAGGTGTCATTAATACAGGTAACGAGTGGAGGACAGAGGAGCCTCTTAAAGAAGAAGTTACAGGTCTGTGAGAGCCAGAAATCTTGCTTGTTTGTAGGTGACCAAATACTTATTTTCCACCATAATTGGCAAATAAATTCAAAAAAATCCTACAATGTGATTTTCTGGGTTTTCTTTTCTCAATTTGTCTGTCATAGTTGACGTGTATCTATGATGATAATTACAGGCCTCTCTCATCTTTATAAGTGGGAGAACTTGCACAATTGGTGGCTGACTAAATAATCCCCCCCCCCCACTGTATATACATACACAGTACCAGTCAAAAGTTTGGACACCTACTCATTCAAGGGTTTTTCTTTATTTTTACTATTTTCTACATTGTAGAATAATAGTGAAGATATAAAAACTATGAAATAACACATATGGAATCATGTAGAAAACAAAAAAGTGTTAAACAAATCATAATATATTTTATATTTGAGTTTCTTCAAAGTAGCTACCTTTGCCTTGATGACAGCTTTGCACACGCTCGGCATTCTCACAACCAGCTTCATGAGGTAGTCACCTGGAATGCATTTCAATTAACAGGTGTGCCTTCTTAAAAGTTAATTTGTGGAATTTATTTCCTTCTCAATGCATTTGAGCCAATCAGTTGTGTTGTGACAAGGTGGGGGGGGGGGGGGTATTCACAAGATAGCCCTATTTGGTAAAAGACCAAGTCCATATTATGGCAAGAACAGCTCATTACTTGAAGACATGAAGGTCAGTCAATACAGAAAATGTCAAGAACTTTGAAAGTTTCTTCAAGTGCAGTTGCAAAAACCATCAAGCGCTATGATGAAACTGGCACTCATGAGGACCGCCACAGGAAAGGAAGACCCAGAGTTACCTCTGCTGCAGAGGATAAGTTCAATAGAGTTACCAGCCTCAGAAATTGCAGCCCTATTAAATGCTTCACAGAGTTGAAGTAACAGACACATCTCAACATCAACTGTTCAGAGGAGACTGTGTGAATCAGGCCTTCATGGTCGAATTGCTGCAAAGAAACAACTACTAAAGGACACCAATAATAAGAAGAGACTTGCTTGGGTCAAGAAACACGAACTATGGACATTAGACCGGTGGAAATATGTCCTTTGGTCTGGAGTCCAAATTGGAGATATTTGGTACCAGCCGCCGTGTCTTTGTGAGACGCGGTGTGGGTGAACGGATGATCTCTGCATGTGTAGTTCCCACCGTGAAGCATGGAGGAGGAGGTGTTATGGTGTGGGGGTGCTTTGCTGGTGACACTGTCTGTGATTTATTTAGAATTCAAGGCACACTTAACCAGCATGGCTACCACAGCATTCTGCAGCGATACGCCATCCCATCTGGTTTGGGCTTAGTGGGACTATAATTTGTTTTTCAACAGGACAATGACCCAACACACCTCCAAGCTGTGTAAAGGCTATTTGACCAAGATGGAGAGTGATGGAGTGCTGCATCAGATGACCTGGCCTCCACAATCACCCGACCTCAACCCAATTGAGATGGTTTGGGATGAGTTGGACCTTAGAGTGAAGCAAAAGCAGCCAACAAGTGCTCAGCATATGTGGGAACTCCTTCAAAAATGTTGGAAAAGCATTCCAGGTGAAGCTGGTTGAGAGAATGACAAGTGTGCAAAGCTGTCATCAGGGCAAAGGGTGGCTATTTTGAAGAATCTCAAATATAAAATATATTTTTGGTTACTACATGATTCCATATGTGTTATTTCATAGTTTTGATGTCTTTACTATTATTCTACAATGTAGAAAATAGTAGAAATAAAGAAAAACCTTTGAATGAGTAGGTGTGTCCAAACTTTTGACTGGTACTGTATATAGAAAAAAGATCCACTTTAACACTGCTTTTGACATGTTTTTAGAGAGGTGTTGAATCGTTGAGTCAGTAGACTATTTTCCAGTGTGTGGGCTGTTCACACACGTTCTCACTGTCCCCACAGAAGCGGTTGTAGGTGGTTTTCGGGTCGAATCCCAATATCTCTCTTTCCTCGTGGATACGGAAGGAAAAGGTTGACACGGAGGTTCCGATAAAATACCTGGGAAATGGAAGGGAGATAGAGGGAATTCAATTTAGTACAACTTTATTCATCCCTCCAAGGGCAACTAAGAAAGAAAGACAAGTCACTTTTACAAGTATCAAACCAACATGAAATACAGTATAACAACAGACTTCACCTTCCCAAATACAATACATCGTTCATTTACATTTTAGTCATTTAGCAGATGCTCTTATCCAGAGCGACTTACAGTTAGTGAGTGCATACATTTTTTTTCATACTGGCCCCCCGTGGGAAACGAACCCACAACCCTGCCGTTGCAAGCGCCATGCTCTACCAACTGAGCTACAGGGGACTTTCCATACAATACTTGTTAAAAGGCCAGCTCTTATTTAGTGTTTACTTTTCCCCTATTCTAGTATTTGTTTTATTTGCCCAACACCCCTTATTTTCTCATTAGTGGTACCTACAAGTCACCCCACTTCTATCAGCCAATCACAGTCCACCATTCCCAGTGCACCTCAACTGATTGCCGTTACATGCACACAATTATTGTGGATAGTGAGATTAATATAATAGTTTGATTAAACCGTTTACATGCTTTGCAAGAAGAACGATTTCCCTAATTATCCTGTTTACATGGACACATCTGAAATCAGACTACCTGATGGCACTCTGATAACTGCAGAAAATCGCCAATCAAAATAAACGTTCTACCACAACGAACATGTTATTTTTGGGAAGCATATTTTATTCTGAGTTCCGACATATAAAGTTTGTATGTGAAAACTATTTCTAAGACGCATACATTCAGGTGTTCTGAACACACTTCACCCGCGCTAAAGAGGGAGGCTCGCTCGGCTGGTGTAAGCACATGCACAGATCAAATGCATCGCTGGAACGCTGATTAAGGTGTTTACATGTCCTAATAATCCTAAAGATTTCTCAGAAAACCAGGTGTTTTTATCGGCGTATGCCTACTTCGATTTTGACCTTCCGCCGATTAAGATAAGAAGAGTAACGTGTTTACATGACTATTGACATAATCAGTTTAATATCAAATTATTAGTGTGCATGTGTTACAGGGTCTGGTTTTTCCATTTATGTTTTGAGGTTGGACTTTAGCACGTATAGCACGTTAGCATATAGGGCGCACCGATTGGTGTCACCTTGTTAGTCAGTATGTGTTAAACCTGTGCTGGTTGCCATCTCATTAGTGGGAAGGTGTGTCACCTGTGCTGGTCCAGTTGCTATTTAAGAGTGGCTGGTCCAGTGCTCCAGCTGTCTTGAGAGACAGAGGATTAACACTTTTAGTTGGCGCTCCCTATTCGTTTCTAGACAAACAAGCCTTTATTTGATCTTCCCTGTTTTCAATTTGTTCCACTTTTTGGTTTGCTTCCTGTCTTTAAGTTTGGTGTGGGTTTTTCTTTTGTTTGCCTCTTCTTGGGCAAATTTAGTGGGCACTCATGGTGGGTGTCTTTTAGGTTCCAGTTTTTGTTGCTAGTCAACTTTCAGTGGACACCCCCAAGAGTATCTTTCAGAACCCCTCCTAAAACTCCACCTGTTTTGGTTGTTGTTCAGCGACTTTGTTAAATCCTGCTTCTGTTTGAGCGACATATTTGGGTTTTCTAGCTGGGGAACGTAACAACATGTAAACGTACTCACTGAACCCCGCTCCTGTCTTCAGCGTGAGATCGTGGTCAGAACAGACTGGACTAGTTGGACTGGTCCTCACCAATCTGTATTTGACCTGTGTTTTAGTGCGTGCATCTAATTGTAAGTACTGTCTGACATGTCATTACTTTAGTTGAGTGTTGCTAAGGCGATCAAGTTCATATTTGAGGTATTTTTCTTTCATGTGTCATGCTACTGCTAGCCAGCTAAGCCAAGATGTTAGCTAGTAATGGTAGCACGTTAGGCCTGGTGTAGCTCACGTATCATTTCAGGGGTAATATTTTCAAGTTCATATTGACTGTTTATGCATAGCCTTGTTTATGGACATTTAGAACCTTTATGTAGCCTCATGCTACTGTGCACTGTTTTTAGCCTTATGTATGCATGTAGCCTAATTTAGCCTGTGCCTTCCTTGTGGCACAGTTACTATTCCACAGTGGTCTTGTGCACAGACCCTAGTTTCATTATGGTCACGTTTCTGTTGGGTTTACCAGTAATTGGGCCTTTGTCCTGTAAGTGTATTTCTCTATTATAGCCTCTGTATTTGGTTTAGCCCCTTATGTTATATCATGCTGTAGCAGTATACTCTTATGGACTAACTTCAGTATTTACATGTGCACATCAACAAAAGAAAAACACAAGAATGTCTGCATCATGTGTACTCATCACAGCTCCCTACCTACAGTCTGCACACGTTGTGTAACACTTTCATCTGAATGGTGGAATATATTCTAAGCACAGTGTGAGCTGTACCTGGCATGTGCGCAGATCCATTGGTCAATGATAGCCACGCCCCCGTCTTTGAGTAGTTCCAGGTCCTCCCAGGTGGGCTCGAAGCGTGTCATCTCTGGTAACATCCTCTTCAGCTCCGCCAGCTCTGCACAGGACAGACATATGCCTCATTAGGAACACACCGGTCATATTGTCTAGGACAGACTCTGTGGAGTAGGGTACGGACAGAATAAACCTGCCAAGCCTTGATGTAGTTATTCTCTCTACTGGGTAATCGGGTTGGGGTCAATTTCATTTAACCCTTAAGAGACTAAGCCGGGGGAGGGGGGGTACTACTAAGCTATATGGAATTGTTTGAAGGTCATACCAAGGATCATTTTGCCAGTTGATTTTGAATATTAAGAACCTTTTGAAGTATAAAAAAAATCAAACAATTATGATACAATTATTTTTGGCCTTACTGCTATTAGCCCATACAAACGCATTGAATAACAGATTCACTACATGGAGCAACAGTCCCAAAAAAAGTTTGTTCTGAAGTGTCTGTCCTATATCTGAGAAAAATCAGGAAACATTTGTTATGCATTCAACCCCTTATTGTATTTAACCCCTTATTTATAGCACTAAACAGTCTCCATATATACTTCCATTAATTTTTTCAACTGGTACCGGGGGACCTTCAGATGAGTCTTGTGAGGCCTGTGGGCATCCTAGAGCAAAACATGTTCACGAGAGTCTCATCATTCTATAGAGGGGTCATAATAGTTTGAAGGCTAAACTGTTCGGACGCTACAGACGATTTTGTGAGAAGACAGATTTTCGGGCATGTCTTATGGTCTGACAAACACCGCTCTAGCCCTTTCACTGCAGATGCGGAAGTGCGACATAGGCAGATTTCTATGGGGATTTATTTATTATGCTAATTAGATTTCCGCAGGGGCGCGGACATCGACCGTGGACATTCCAATTCTTAACAAAATTATTGTTATGTTCTTAAGGCTGCAAATATGAATCGCTTTATTGTCAACAACTTCTTTCATCTAAATTCAACATCAATCTATCTCAATGGCACCAAAGTACAACAGTACCTTCATCATCTGCATCTGTGGCCACAAAGACTCTGTCTAGGTTGTTTTTCTTCATGAGGCTCCTGATCTTCTTGACAGCTCCTTTGAGGCTGGGCACATCCTCTCTGTGACCCCAGATAAAGTCCTTCCTTCTCAGGTGGACACCCAGGTATGGCCCCCCTCTCGCAGAACTCAGCTTATTCTAAGTTTACACACAGAAATGAATAACACATCAAACCACTGATGCCCAATCCAAATCAACCACCAACAGCAAACCATAACTATCCATACCTTAACATGTCCCCCCATTAATTGTATAGGTTAAGTAGATACAGTAGACCTACATGTTGCTAGTGCAGGAAGTAATGTAATGTGGATAAATATAATCTAAATGTGCAAGAAATGTATGTGAAGAAGTCTAAAAACCTTAATGAGAGTCCAGTCCTCATTGTATACGGTCTGGTCCTGCTCGTCTGTGGAGTTCAGGTACATTGCTCGGAACTCGTCCCCTAGGAGACGCAGGTGTTTGGCGAAGACCATGCTGCGGCGAGTCTAGAGAGAAGGCACAAAAATACTTAATGGGCAAAATTGGGAGTGTTAAACCAAACAGGTAAGGACTATCCATTAAATTAGTGGTAATAAGGTACAATTGTCATGACTGAACAATTCATTAGCAAAAGGTTGAGGGATTAAAATGCACAATTTAGTTAATCATCTTGTTACTACAGTGAACAAAAATATAAACGCAACATGTAAAGTGTTGGTCCCACGTTTGAGCTGAAATAAAAGATCCCAGAAATGTTCCATATGCACAAAAAGCTTACTTCCCTCAAATGTTGTGCACACATTTGTTTACATCCCTGTTAGTGAGCGTTTCTCCTTTGCCAAAATAATCCATCCACCTGACAGGTGTGGCATATCAAGAAGTTGATTAAACATCATGATCATTACACAGGTGCAAGTTCTGCAGCATGATAATGCACAGCCCCATGTCGCAAGGATCTGTACACAATTCCTGGAAGCTGAAAATTTTCCAGTTCTTCCATGGCCTGCATACTCACCAGACATGTCACCCATTGAGCATGTTTGGTTTGCTCTGGATCGACGTATACGACAGCGTGTTGCAGTTCCCGCTAATATCCAGCAACTTCGCACAGCCATTGAAGAGGAGTGGGACAACATTCCACAGGCCACAATCAACAGCCTGATCAACTCTATGTGAAGGAGATGTGTCGCACTGCATGAGGCAAATGGTGGTCACACCAGATACTGACTGGTTTTATGATCCACGCCCTACCTTTTTTTTAAAAAGGTATCTGTGACCAACAGATGCATATCTGTATTCCCAGTCATGTGAAATCCATAGATTAGGGCCTAATGAATTTATTTCAATTGACGGATTTCCTTATGAACTGTAACTCATTAAAATCATTGAAATTGTTGCATGTTGCATTTATATTTTTGTTCAGTGTATGATTGTAGGGTATCAAACATTACCAAACTTAAGCTACATTCTTTACAACTTATCAGACTAACATTCCAGTAGTCCTTTCCAGCGTAGAGATCATGGAGGACAGTCTCTGCTCTATCCAACATCACTGACCTGCAGGGATATGAAAGGAAAGAGCTCCATCAGTGGACACAGGTGCACATCTCATACAGTACATTCAGCAAATCCAATAAAGACTATACATCTAAAATTGGAATTCCATGGCACATGTCAGTGTTATGTCATTAGTATTTGATTTGCCTAAGACAAGAATATTTGGCCTAAATCAAGCATTCATTAGGGCTGGTTCCATATGAAATTATTTTTCTACCATGGCCAAACACAGACTTCTATTGACTCACGTTGATGTGATGTTGTTCTGCAGGAGTGGTGCCAGGATGGAGGCGTGGCCCTGAGCTGACAGACAGGTGACGTTCACACACCTGGTTTCCTCATAGCCCCAGAACCAACCTCTATAGAGAGGGAGAGCGAAAGAGAGAGGAAATGTGCTTCTACATCTGCATTGCTTGCTGTTTGGGGTTTTAGGCTGGGTTTCTTTATAGCACTTTGTGACATCTGCTGATGTAAAAAGGGCTTTATAAATACATTTGATTGATTGATTAAACACAGGGATATTTCTATGACTGCAACTACCCAATACTCACTACCCCACTATACTACTATTACTACTACTAACACATTTGCTTCCACTCCCATAACAAAACCTTCAGTAGCTGAAGCAAGTATTTACCTTTTCTAGTTCAACTTTGCGAGACATAGAGATAGGTAAGCACAGATGACAGACTGTTAGTTTCCTCATGCCGTAGTCCTTAGTGTCTTTGGAATGCATTGTGTTGAATATATTGTGTTGCTATCCATCTCTGAACCTGGTCACTGTACCTGTAATAACCCTGTTTGTCTTTGGAGTACATTAACCGCTCAACGCAGGGTCTCTCATCCACTTTCTCCTCCCATTTTCCGTCCGTCCACCCTTCAGCGTAGTTCTGTAGCACCAGGACCTGCTCAATAAACGGACCTCCAGACTCTAGAGGCAAAAATATGGGAATATAAAATGTTACTTTAAGCCTGCAGGTACAATGTTATGTTTGTATGAGCCTTTATGACCAGGCATCATAATGCATTATTATACCCATGGAACAATCATTAACAGAGGAAAATGGAAAGGAGCCAGGAGCCAGGAGTCAGGGGAAGTTAACCAACCACAGCAACATGTAAATGTACTCAAATGTCTGAGGGGTGGTTCACACTATAGTGTTGACCAGAATCTTACTGTGCTGGCTCTGATATTTTCCTTCCACAATATCCTTTCCAGCATGATCCCAGTAACTATGGTGGATACATAACCAGGCCAGCACAGTACAGATCACTTCAGCTCAGCTGCACTCACCGGCTATAAACTCCTCGTATTCTATGACTGGCACGTTGCCCTGGAGACTGGTGAGGCTGAAGAACTCTCCCCAGGGGATCCTTGTCTGGTGGATGTCTGGGCTCTGCCAGTGGTAGAGACGCCCCCAAGGGGGCAGCACCAGCACCCAGTCACCGTGTCTCCTCAGGGTCTTCACCAGGGACGCCATGCGGATGTACACGTCCCGACGCAGGTTGAAGCCCTCTGGTGGGTTGACGTCGTAGAGAAGATATCTGGCAGCATAAAGTTATAGAGATACAATATAATAGTATAATACTGTTGTTCTATTGATGTGCCCGAACGCCTGATAAACATGAGTTCTGTTAGACCGAGAGCTATAGCTCCCAGGTACCCAGGGAGGCGGTTCACTCAGAGGCAGACAACTGTAGCCTGCTTTTTGTGCGTTTTAATTAAATGTTTTCTGGTTACAGAATATAGAAAGTCTTGGGCGATAATTTTTTTTTTTTTACTGCACCACTGTAGAAAATTGAATAGATTGAAGCTAAACGCCTCCCTAATGAAATAGGCTCTATGCACGCATCAGTTCCGCATTGGCGTAAGGATGCTTGGGCATTTCCGGTTACCGGAAAAAAACATTAAGACAGTGACAGTAGACTCTGTGAGAGCCCACTGCTACCGCTCAATGAAGAAACTAAAGACACCACACCAGCTGAGAGTAAGACTAGATTAAGTGACACGTTCAAAGTTCTGTTGAACTTGTTCAAGGTTCCGTTCAACACGTTTTACTCGTTTAATGTTACCACAGCTTTGATTGCCATTGCTAAGAGAACACTTTAGAACTTTAGTGGTTTTCACAATAGCTGAACAGTGGTAGCCTAATACAAACCAGGGTAGCTGAGTGGGAATTGCCATGCTTTGTTGTTGGGTCTGTTGTAAACAAATTGGAGTTTGGTTTGAAATGTAAACAATAATGAGATTACTACTTTTTCCTGACTTGATGACTGCAATGACAGTAACATATTCCACTCAGCTATTCTTCAAACTGCTGATGTTCTACTCAAAACTGTACGGTCATCTTTACTTCTTTCTTTATAAACATATGGCCCAACTTCCTTGCTTTTGTACTTGATGTTTCTACTTTTCAAGAGGAATTAGGAGCAAAACCTTCACTCTACTGTTGTTATTGGTACTAGGCTACAATGTTGCACCACTCACCTACTGCTCTGCCAATACTGTTTGAAGGTAGGTAAATGGCACAAGACAATAGGTAAGTGGTGGGAGACAGTATAGCCAAGTGGTGCAAGACAGTAGGAAAGTGATGCAGAAAGCACAAAAGTGACACTAGACCGTAGATAAGTTGCTTACACCAGTAAAAAGTAGAAAGAACAAGTTTTGCTCTTACTCCTGCTGCTGTAGACCCTTGTCTTTCAAAACCCATTTAAATTATGCTTCTGTGTATTTCAGATGACATTGAGTGATTCACAGCCAGTTGTGCTTTTTAAAAGCTACGGTTCCTGTGTGGCTGGGTGTGGGATATGCAATCATTTGGTTGTATTACTATTACTCTGAATGTGGCATGTCTGTCGTCCCTCCTGTACTTTCGTGCACTGAAACAGAGCAGAAGTGGCGAACAATACCAGACAGTTGTGTCACATGCATACTAGCATCTCTCCTAATAACATCTCATAAATAAATAGGGAGTGAAGCCAGGACCTGTGGATGCCATGGTTGTAGTGAAGCCCAAACCAGATGCTACTCCGGCAAGCGGAATTAGGTATGCAGAATCCAATTAAATAGTCAGACTACAATGTGTTGCGAAAGAAATGTTATTAATCTCTGTTAGATTCTGGTGTATTTCTTAGTGAACCCTTTACTTTTCCTGATATTGTTATTCCAGATCTACACTTTACAAGGGCTACAGCGGTGAGCTACCAGACCCATCAACCCTCAACCCACTACCCACTGTCATCCCGTTTTTTAAAGGACACTTTCGTACGTTTACACGTCATCGTGTTATAAGTCAAGACGAAGTATTACAAGTAAAAACATTAACATAAACATTAAGATAAACAACGACGAAAATTAACCGTTTCGGATGTTTTTGACGACAAGCATTCAACGCTTGCATACGGTAGCACAGCATTCTACGATAACCGGAAGTTTCCATCCATCTTGAGATTTAACCGGAAATACGTCATGCTCGCCTGTGCATATCGCCTATACAGGCTACAGAACAGAGCAGCCGAAATCGGTGTTTACTATTGCTAATGATACGCTGTCGACGCTCCCTACCGTAGGTCCCGTGCTGCTGCAGCGGTCGGTGAAAATACTTTATTTCCTGCACGGAATGCATCTTCAATTTGAACCTCAGCGTCTACAGGTCTCAACGCGAGAACAAACAAACACATTTTGATTAGAGATTTCGCAGAAAAAATCCACAACACTGGCGAATTAAATCCACCACAGCTGTGGTCCGCCATTTTTTATTTAAGTCACGCACTTCCGGGAGGGTGAAGCGTCTGTAGTTGCACAGCAACTGCATTGATTTTTGTAACAATTTGATACAGTATCATTATAGTTTCACCTGCTGGAGGAGCGGCATGTGTCAAGGGGGTAGATTTTTAGCAACGCCTTTACAGTTTATTGTTTTTAGGCTGCTCAGTTATTCTTCCTCGTTCTCTTTCAGTAAGTTTACATTAGTGCACATACAGTCAGATTGGAATACAATTTAGTTAGAACGGCCCATTCCAGAACACAGACTAATTCCAGAAACATTCCATATCACTATATTGACATTTTGGTAGAATATGGCATATATCGAATATAATAGAATAGGATAGAAAATAATAGAATAGAAAATATCCTATACATTTAACTTTCAGCTAGAGTAGCCTATTTCCTGTGTCACATATTTTGAAGCATAGAAAATAATAGAATAGAATAGGTGTGTCATACCATCGTTTGAGTTTGCTTATTGCAATTCCACCACCTGACACTAGAGGACTCAATACCAAAAATACCAATAATGTGCATCTGCAGGCCGCAATTCGGGGTGTTCCTGCATGTATGAAGAAAAAAAAAATGTATGCACTCACTAACTGTAAGTCGCTCTGGATAAGAGCGTCTGCTAAATGACTAAAATGTAAATGTAAAATGTAATGTACATTCATTCCTGCGTCCTCAAGCAATAATGGACCAATATAAGTATAAAGAGGGGTTCCTGCAGATGCAGGAATGCCCACATGCAGGAACACCCTGAATTGCGGACTGCAGTTGCACCCTTCTCAAATATATTTGTAGGCTAACTACAGGTAACTACCAAAATAAAGGTAACACCAAAATAAAGTTCTTAACAGGTCGTTGGGTTCAGCTTCAATGCGCCTGGGCATAGATTCTACAAGTGTCTGAAACGCTATTGGAGGGATGTGACACAATTATTCCACAATGAATTCCATCATTTGGTGTTGTGTTGATGGAAAACACTGTCCCAGGCGCCGCTCCAGAATTTCCCATAAGTGTTCAATTTGATTGAGATCTGGTCACACACCTGTACAGTAGGTGGCGGAATGCACATTTGATTGTTGCGAATGACGTTATACCAAAGAAGATCTGGGGACGGACACGCACACAGACGAACGAACGGACACGCACACAGACGAACGAACGAACGGACACACACACACACACACACACACACACACACACACACACACACACACACACACACACACACACACACACACACACACACACACACACACACACACACACACACACACACACACACACACACACACACACACACACACACACACACACCTTTGAGACCCCTCTTTCAAAGTCACAGATACAGTATCTTCTACCCATGGTAGGCAAAATAATGGGCAACTGGCCATTTCTATGCATGACCCTAAGCATGATGGGATGTTAATTGCTTAATTAACCAAGGAACCACACCTGTGTGGAAGCACCTGCTTTCAATATACTTTGTTGCTTATCCCTCATTTACTCAAGTGTTTCCTTTATTTAGGCAATTAGCCTCCCTGTAGCTCCTCTCTATGGCAATGATGTACATGATGATTTGAAATTGTCACAAGATGGCGGTATTGCACTGATAGATGTGTTTACTGGCAATGAGTTATGATGATAAGCTAAAACTGCTGCGCATCTGAGAACTTTGGACGTTTTCCCTCTCACTGATGGTGATTAACGAAGGACGCCTAGCAGCACTTTGTGCAGCCAGCCACTCCCTATGCCCGTGGACCAGTAGTCCCTATCCACCTCAGTGCTCCAGTAGAAGTCCTCCGAGCCGGATGAGAGACGCGTCCAGGCACATTCACAACTCCGATAACTAAAAAAGACAACGGGGATAGCTTTTCAACTGAAGGGATATCCCCGGGATTCTTCACTGTCCTCCAGAGTGGATTAAGGGGACAACATTTCCAATTCAGAGGCAAGTAGAATATTCTCATTTCACATGTGCCACACTATGTGTAGGCTAACCCATTAAGTGCTAGCCTTAAGCCTATTGTTTGCAATACCGTTGCAACTTTTTGTATCACTTGAATGTTACTTTGTAGCCTAATTGACAATTCAGCGTTGGTTGTAAAATCAGAGAGAATCGGACTAAACCCAAATAATATTACGTGTCTATGCAGTAGCCTATTGCCCATTCTTTACACTGCAGTCACTAGTCCCTCTGCGTTTATGTTAAAGATCTTAAAATAGTATATTCTGTTTTTCCTGAGTTGTTTTGTCCTACTTGTGCAACTCAAATGCCACGTAACATTTTTCGTTAGACTACCCCCTAAATGTTTGACGCATCCTTGCTTTTTTTTTTGTCTTTGAATACATGTAGTTTGTTTGGTTGGCGTAATGGTTTTGCACAACTTTTTCACTGATAATCGTTTCTGACCATTCATTCCCTGAGCCCTTGTTAAATTTCGAGTGGGGGGGCGGGGTGTTATACTTTTTTCTTTGCGAAGAGAGAGATTGGTAGACTACAATCGGGAGGGGTGGGTTTACTTTTGTTTCTAGTTTCCCCTCGTCCAAATCTAGGGCGATGTTGTATTGTTAATCAAGAATGCTAACATCTGCTGTCATTGCGCTCGAGCAGAACACAACGCTGAGATAACGGTGCTTTTATTGAGGGTTGTAGGACAAGGGTGAAAAAAGCAGTGCAACTTTTCTAAGACAAAGTAGATGACTTCTCTCAGATTTCATGCACTCACGTGGCTGTTAGTGTCCTTACTGTGGTCCACACTTCACTCCACTAGCCTACAAGAATGTGATTTCACACAAATAATTTATTTATATTGCAGACACTTTGAAATAGCCTACCCTTCCAAAGAATTAGACACATAGTCATTGCGTGACTTTTTGAATGTCTTACTAGCCTACCACACCATCTACGTTTTAAAGCATAACAAGCCATTGTTGTTCTGAGAAACATCCCAGAGGTTCTCCTGTCAAGGTTTTCTACTTTTCCTCCTCCTGTGATTCCCATCTTACAGTGCATTCAGAAAGTATTCAGACACCTTGACTCAACATTTTGGTATGTTAGCCTTTTTCTAAAATTGATTAAATTAATGTTTTTCCTCATCAATCTACACACAACACCCCATAATGACAAAGAAAGAACAGGTTTTTATACGTTTTTGCTTTGTCATTATGGGGTATTGAGTGTAGATTGATGAGGGGGGGAACAATTTAATCAATTTTAGAATAAGGCTGTAACCTAACAAAATGTGGAAAAGGTCAAGGGGTCTGAATACTTAACGAAAGCACTGTAGCTGTGGCCCAAAAACATCAACCAAAATTGTGTTAGGTCTGCATTTTCTAATGAAGCTTGGTAGTTAAGATGCAACCAGGGTCTGGGTCTCATATGATTACATTTTTTAAAATACTGGAACCTCACAGTGATTCGAACCCAACATCTCTTGTCACTGCTTCATACAAAGGAGAATTGCCTCCTGTTTTGTTTTCTGGACTCAACTTTGTCTGTTTATGGCATAGGTTCTTCTGTCACAGCATGCCTAACGGTAAGGGAAAGCCTACAACATGTTTTACTTTCTACTACCCTTGAAGATCAGTAGCTATGTTTGAAATGCCACTACAGAGTGCCGCTATCAAAAACACTGGTTCAGATAAACTAGTTGATTCCAGGCTGACTGCTCATAAAGGTCCTGTATAGGCTATTATAGATAGGATAACGGATCTTTGCTATGGACCCCTCAGCTGTTCCCTGCCAAAATACCAAATGTAATTGGTCAAAAAAATACAAAATGGACACTGTCATAACTACAGTGTGTGCTCTTACTACAGCACATTACTGTTAGATTTATGAACCTCTCCAATTTGATCATATTACCCTGGACGCCATTACAGTAAGTTAGTCTATTTTTTTTTGTGTGTGGCAAAGAGGTGAATGGCCCACTCAGATCATGGGCCCCATAAGTCTGTCCATCCATCCAGAGAACAGTTATCCATTTCTCTATTACTCTGGCTTCTGTGATTTCATCAGATATGACACTGCCTTCATGAGCCAAGTCCCCTTTTATTAGTAGGACTGATCAAACAAATAAACAGACATATGCTGATAGTGGATGGTGCGGCGCTGCCTCGAAGTTTGGGCAGTTTGTCTAAATGGCTGTTTATTGACCCATCTGGGGACAAAGAATTGAATCGGAAGCACAGCTAGGTGAAATGCTTCTGATAAGGAAGTGAGTTGTCTCAAGTGTATCCTGCTATTTGTCTAGTATTTGCATAGTTTATGCCGTTGTTTTCAACCCTTATGTGTGTTCGGAACCATGTGTTTGCCCTCTAGGCTGGCCTAGTTTCCAGGGGCAAAGTCCCTCAGCCATGGTGATGAATGATGTTTGCTCGGATCTGCCTGTGGTGATCTGCTGTTTTGAGTACTGAGGTGCGTGTCCTGTGTGTTATGCTGTGTTCACGTGCTAGTCGGAACTACGAAACTCTGAACATTTCTGACTTGCTAACTGGTTGAACACGGCATGTGTGTGTAACTACAACCAGTTAGCAAGTCGGAAATGTCCTAGTTCCGACTAGCACGTGAACGCAGCATTAGCTCTGCCTCAAGAGGTGGTTGTGAGGGTGATTTTAGAGGCTCAGCTCTACTGGCTGAATAGACAAATGCAGTGCTTGCCATTTGAGTTGAAGCTCTGACAGCAGCCAGGCAATCACTGACAGTTACTTATTTTTTACATAAACCTTCAGATGACAACATCACCTAAACTACATCACACCTGCCCAGACCCACATGCTCACATCTCCAGCGCCCGCATCACTCTCTGCCATATGGCCTCAAACAGCACAATTTTGTTTCTCTGTCGCATTTTCAACATTTGGATAATAAAGCATTTGACCTTTCCATTGTGTTAACGATGGAAGATTGGTTGATTTTCAAATTTAAGTATACGTTTTTTTCAAGATTGTTGAGAAAAGTATCATCCAACCTATC